TTGAAAGACAAGAATAGAAAAAATGACCATAGCACAATAACACAATGGCTGGTTGCATAAATACCGAGCCACGGCAAAAGGATATTACCAAAAATGGTCTAAACAGTAAAGGTTAAATATAAGACAAATAAAAAAGAACACTATAACACGTAATTAGATGATAAACAACGTCAGTACCTAGAATCTATACTTCAAGACCATCATATATTATGTGTGAAGTTGATACTGATATTTATCAACAAGGTCTTTGTAATTCCGATGAACTTTTCTAGAAAAAGGACGAGACGTTCTTGGACATTACAGTGTTTCATCAACTTGCTGCTCAGACACTGGTGACGTTTAACAAAGTAGGAGTAGCAACTGCAAGCTCTTGAATACCGAATGAGTTGGGAAATGTACATGTATATCCCATATGCAGGTGAAGTTGGTATGTTGGTGCTAAGGTGGGGGGAATTTATAATTTCAAAATTAAAATCGTCTCGTTTTTCATAGATTTTGGTACTGAGATGACCGCTCATGTTTAGATTAAGTCCTTTTTATTCTTTATAGAACATGTGCAGAGGAAGATTAATCGGTGAGAGGTGTGTCAAAATTTATTTGAAAATTTTAACGAAAATAAGTTATATTTTCAGCCTTTTCCTGTCCATAACACATTTGCAACCTTTATTTTATTTCATATTTTGTAACGATGAAGTTTGTTCAATATTGTTAATGAGAAATATATGGTGTAATGTAAGGTAAGAGTGCATTTAAACTGTGCAGTATATCTTGGGTAGTTACTGCACACCTAAGATGTGCATTATCCAGATTATAGCATAGTTAGAAACAAAGAGATTTTGCCCATGTCATGTGTTAATTCAAGTTGATGTTTTCAAGGACAATGTAATTCAAAGGGTTGTTAAAAAGAGCGATAAGTTGAAATCGTTCAGACCTAGAATATTCAATCAATATATGAATGCTATTAACCCCCTCAAAACAATGGATCTATTGGTCTACATCGGGTTATCTATATGTATAAATAGCTCATCTTTACCGAAATGTTTTTGCATGACTCTTGTAAAAAAGATAATCAAAATATGTAGTTAATCAGAAAATGTTTTTAAAAACTGTTTTGATTTTAAATTCTTAAGATGTAAGTTTTCAAGTGCTAAAAATAATTTAGCGTCATATCTATAGTCAATATCATTAAGCAGAGAATAACATTACGATTACTTAATTCGTTATTTCACTTAGGTTTCACTTGAATAAAATGAATAATACAATTTTTCAAAAGGAAATTCTTTTACATTTGTAGAACTTTTACTACAATGCAGGAAGTTCCATTTGAAATTATTACCTGGAAAGAAAAGTTCACACCCAAAACTAAATACAAGGTTCTGTAGCATTTTGTCATCATTCATTGCCTTACAACCTAAGCTTATACTAAAAACTTATACTTCCCCTTCGTTTTCTCTGAGTCGTCCTGATAATTTGTTTTGATCTCTTTTCAATTGAATTTATTCGGGTAAAAATCACATTTGTGAAAGAGTTATATTTGTAAAGTGCAGTTACTGATTGCAAATAAAAAGCAAAACGAAATTTTAATCTAAAATGTGAATGAAATAAAATTGATTGCTCATCTGGTCAAGAGGGCCATAATAAAGCAGACTCATCATTATTATTAATCAGTCGACACATTGAATCTATTAAAAATGGTTAATTCATGACAGACTTGCTTTGATTTGAAGTTTTTGCATGATTTCATATCACCTGGATGCGAGTATTCTTTAAAACAGTATAATTTCCTCTACAAATTAAAAATAATTTTTACTTTCTTTGGCTTTCATGTTTTTCTTATTCTTAACGCAAGTAAATTCTCAAAGTTATTCAAAGACAGCATTACCATAGGGCTCATATTAGGGAGCATTTAGTCTTGAGAAAGATACATATAGTATTCATTTTGATAAATGATCAGATAAAACATTACAAGAAGTTTTTAAATACAACACTCATTTTATTCAAGTGTTACCTACGTGAAATAGAATGAAGTAATCATTATTTTTTCCTCTGCTTAATGATATTAGATATGATGCTAAAATCCATTCAGCACTTGAAAACTTACATCTTAAGAATCTAAAATCAAAACATTCTTTAAAAACATTTTCTGATTAACTACATATTTTGATTATCTTTTTTACAATAGTCGTGCAAGCAAAACATTTCGGTAAATAATCAACCGAATCGGTATATGTTAATTTACTGCACATCTCGGTTACTTTTTGAGCCGAATTCTGAGGTCCTTCGATTCAAGTAGAGTTGTCTAAAGTGTGCAGTAAAACTAACATATTCCGACTTGATTGCTCAATTACTATTTTCTCATAATTTTTGTTTACAAGGAAAACACATTGTGTGCTATTTTCTTTCCGGAAAGTGGCAGCTTTCCAACTAAGAAGGACCGTGCAAAGCTCCCACATACCTGGATATTATTTTGATTCTACCCAGGAGAGGTGTAAAAGATTTACATATGGAGGATGTAAAATAAATTCAAACAATTTCAAAACAATAAAGCAATGCAATAAGGCATGCAAATAGTCAGGTACGATTTTCCGTAGTAACACTTTTTGGAATGAGTAACACAATTTTCAATGCGTTGTACCTCGGATATGGCAGAGGTATTTATAAATATCATTTCAGCTGAGAACCCATGAACGATTACTGTATGAACTAAATAAGTCATTTGGAACATGTTGCATTATATGATATAGATATATGCTCATTTATGAAGCTGAACATGTGCAAAAACTTTTCGCTGTGTGTAAACGATCGGTAGAAAAATGTGTCTTCGATCGATAAAAATGTCAGAATTCTAAATTAAACACAGCGCAGCAAACTAAGGGTTTAGTAACAAGAACCATAATTAAAAGGGACAATGATGTGTTCAAAAGTCAAATATGTTTTGCTGCAGATCAGTAAATTTCATATAGGTGGAGACAAAAAAAAATCCATTTTCAAAAGTCTAAGCATAATACGACATTTTTAACCCCAAACATGTAACCTGAATTTGAAACAAACAATCAATTAATCCCATTTACATACAAACAAAACAAACTTTAAGTAATAGAAACCTAAACAAAGTAATCTCTCCTTTAACAAACATGTTACTAGTATCTCAAATCTAGCGTCAAAGAATAACAATATTTTGCCATGATAAAAACTTTCAAGTTATCAAAATAATACATAGAAATATTTGTCAAAATAACAAACTAAAAGCTGGAAAACAAACATCTGCAATTTTTTTTTCCTTTTAACTTCGGGACAACATGCTTTCTCCAAATTCTTACATTCATTAAAATTATATGAAAAACATCAAATTTAATAAACACTTTTATTGGCATCTAATTGAATATCTGTATGTAGCATAATATTAGCACGGATAAAAAATCAAACAAAAATAGAAACATTGTATAGGTAAACATGTAAATACTTCAATATTTAATTCTATTATTTCTCTGTCTAATGGGACGTGTGTATTTAAATTTGACATAATTTGCTTTGGAAAACAATGAAAAATATTTCAACTATAAATTCCAAGTCAGATATTCCATTGAATTAAATATTTGATTGATACTAGTTACGAAAAAGGAAAATACAATCTTAATCTGAATGGACAAAGTATGAGAAGACATCAACTCGGCCTCTTGAATTCAAAAATCAAAAAGTATAGTAAATCTACCAAATAACATTCTTTAGATGACCATAAGACGTTATAAACATTATACGGTTTATATTTTTAAATTTTGTGTTACATATTTGCATTAGGACTCCAAACCTGCTGCATTTATTGCACAACTGCAAAAACTGCCGACATAGCCTCATTAGAGATCTTGTCTTTCATATTTAAATATAAGCCAAGGCTTCACCCAGAACAGATATTTTACTACATTTGATGTATTTTACAAAGATGTTAGTGTAGTATCTTTTATTTTGAAATATTATCAATTCAGTTTCAAATTTTATGTTTTCAATCATATGAAAATTTTTCTAAAAACTTAAAAAATTAAACCAACTATGCAGATACCTTATATTGCAATGAACCAACTCAAAAAGGTAACTATATCCATCTAAATAATTCTACATTCTCAAAATCACATAAAGCATAACGTGAAAAATGAGGACGTTCCATAATTCGAACCTTTTCAAACATGATCCATTATATATGCCTAACCTGAGATCACCCCAAGTTTTTGGTGGAGTTCGTGGTGCTCAGTCTTTAGTTTTCTATGTTGTGTTTTGTGTACTATTGTTTGTCTGTTGGTCTTTTTCTTTTTTTAGTCATGGCGTTGTCAGTTTATTTTCGACTTATGAGTTTGAATGTCCCTTTGGTATCTTTCGCCTCTCTTAGCAGCGAAGCAAATACGTGTACAGAAAAATTTAAACCAAAGCATTCGAGGCTTTTTTATTATAAGCTATCTTAATGATTTCAACATCAGCTGATAAAAAAAATAATTGTAACACCCGTTCACAGTATCTGAACTTGTCAAGCTGACGTTGAATTGGCCAAGCTGACTTTCCTGGTAATTAATTCTTAATAAACATCATAAAAAGTTGATTTCTGACAATTTTGTTTAGCATTGTTTCTATTGAAATTTACGTTTGTTTGTGTTTGTTTAGTCATAGAATACATTTAAGAAGGTCTTAATTTAAACATCGACATTTTCAAGTTTTTATTTGTCGAACGCAAAAAAAAAAAAAAAAAAAAAAAAAAAAAAAAATTTCAATAGGAACAATGTTAAAAATATTGTCAGAACAATCAACTATTAATGTTTGAATCTGTATTTATATTGAACAGATTGATACTATATCACTGATATTAAATAAATACACACATGCAGTTGTGTTAGTTTATACATGTATTTTCATCTACTTAGAAGATAATTTTTATCTTCAGGTAAATTAATCAATGAGTAATGGATTTCTCTTAGGAGAAATTTAAAGGTCTCAGTGAAAAAAACTACACAGAGAACAATAGCTATTGTATTTATTCAATAAGAAAAAAGAACTAACAAAAGTTTAAATCGACAGATAAAAAGTAAAATAACAAAAATACCGAACTCCAAGGAAAATTCAAAACGGAAAGTCTCTAATCAAATGGCAAAATCAAAAGTTCAAACACATCAAACGAATGGATAACAATTGTCATATTCCTGACTTGGTAGAGGTATTTTCTTATGTAGAAAATGGTGGATTAAACCTGGTTTTATAGCTAGCTAAATCTCTCATTTGTATGGCTGTCGCATAAAATTCCATTTTATTGACAACAATGTGTGATAAACTGCAAATAATTTTGTGGAAAATTTCCATTTCTCTTGCAATAATATATCTTTAAAAACAAATTTGTTAACGTTTTTAAGAAACATATATGCTTTAGACTTTAAGAACACATGGTGCTAAAGGGATCTGTAAGTTGTAAGTGGGACTTTAAGAACAACAAGCAATGTTCAAACATGAAATGTTACATCAAACAAATGCTATAATCACCCCAGTATAACGTTCATAAGGAATCGTGCATAGCTATGAATTCCACTTTCGTCGATAAATTGGCTGGAACTGATGTTCAAACCAAACTTGAAAGCCATCCTAAGCGGAAAAAAACCTGCATGCGCAAGTGCATGTGATGATATTATGTCCTTTCCTACGATCTGTAGTGGATTGAGGGTACAGTAACAACTGACATCAATACTGTCCACCAGTAGGCGACCACTGTACGTCAATGGAGCATAAATTCCTCTTCCTTCTACCTTATGTATAGACGAAACAATAGCCATGGTTACTGTTTGACGGTTATCATAACTTGTGAAAAAGCTTAATTCATCTCCTGGTCTAAGATTGGAAGCATGTTGTGGGTTTCGACTCTTTCCCACAAATATGATATGCTCCGGAGTCAGTGTAATTATGCCAAGGTCATGAACAATCTGAAGAAATTTAAACTGACCGGTCTTTACTTGATGAATCCATGCAGTTACCTCGTCTTGTGCAAGTGTTCCATTGTTGTCCATGGTCAGGATCTTGTCACCAACTGAAAGATGTTTTATTCGTTTTAGCTTTCTATTATGGAGCATTACAAGAGAATCTTCATGGAAACAACCGCCACCATTGCTATTGGATGGAGCAGCGTTATTCCTATTATCAACTGTTGGTTGGGTATAAGTAAATTCACCCTTCAAAGCTAAGTTCATAGCCATCTGCATTTTTGTACCTTTTTCTGGACTAACTTCAGATACCAGATGATATAAAGGTACCAGGTCAAGAGAACTCCACAGAGGAACTGGGGAATACTCCAAAGACTCTACCCATGCAATCCAATCGTTTCGATCAATGTTTTCCAAAGACGTTTTATATGTTTTTCTGTTTCCACCGCTCCAATTTAAAGATAATGAATGAATGGTGGAAATATTTTTCTTGATGTTACTTTGTTCTTCTTCTTTTGAAAAATCCAACGCTGCATCGTTCTGAAGAAAAGACATTTTAATTGCCAATGCAGTTTGTGCGTCTTCAAAAGTGCTGTTGGCAGACTGCTCCTTCACTACCTTAACCTGACCAGTTAAAGATCCTCCTATGTATGCACCAGTAACGACATACATTCCCCACTTGTCAAAAAAAGCTTTCCACTTCGACAGATTGTTTTCATCTATTAGGTCATAGTCTGCAGGAAGAGCTTTGACATCAGCTTTAAAATTGTCAGTGGTTGTATACGGTTGCCGGACTTCTACTTGTTGAATTCTGTGTTCTACTAAGAATGATGACTTATCTAACGTTTGAGTTGCCGAATTGCTGGATACACTGCTTTCATTATACCCACTTCGAAGTTGTAAATTAAAGGATCCGAAATTGACGCCTCCTTCTGTATCTACATGTAACTCTCTTAATCGCTGGCTTACATAATCATTATTATCTTTAATCGATTCACATTTGATTTCAAATGAGGCACATTCTTTCAGCTTGACATTTGCAGGAAGTCCATATTGAATTTTGTCATTTTCTTGCATAACTAATGGTGAAAATTGAGTTGCTGAATCTTTAAAAATGTTGTAACCCTTTCCTACATGGTAATCAAAACCAGCACTCTGTTCGTAAGATAAACCAAAAACTTCTTCTAAAATTTTCTGCATCTCCTTGGTTATTCTGATTGGATACATTTTTGCCATTAAGTTATTCATTGACATGCTCTGCAGATCATCTGTTCTTGAAATACCAAGATCTCGAAATCTTACTTGGAGAATTAAGATACCATTATCAAGCGTCTTCACATTTTTCTGCTTTTTGTAATTCTCTAACATGCTACCTACCTCTGATGTCGAAACCATTACTACCGACTGGAGCAAAATTGTATGCATTGCTTGGGTATGTTCCGGTTTAACTGCTGAAGCAGAAACAATTTGTCCCGTCTTTACGCTCTTGTCCAAGCCTTTTCTAAAACAAACTGCGACAGCTTCATGTCCTATTTCATCTTTTGCTCTGTTTAATATTCTTTTACACGCTTGAAATAATATCTTTGGCTGTTTGTCACCGTTTGGCAGGAGATACCAATCACCATCAGGCTCTAGATCATTGTCTTCAGGTTGGTTTTCTTGTACCACAATCTCTGGATTAATTCCTAGATGAACTTGAACCATAGCTTGAACTTGTGCTTTCTTCAGTTCTACCTTTTCTTCCCAACGTTTTGGGTTTCGAGCAATAGAAGTAGCATGTGTAAGAACTACTACAACATTTGGATTGCGATTATCAATCGCATTGACATTACTGATGCCTTTTAACATTTTCGCAAAATTAGAGCTTTCTCCTTCTATTCTGTTGTCCTGGATGTTCAGTACTATCATGACCAAATTTGGATAACTCTTTCTAATATGCGGATGAGATTCCAGAAAATATTTTATAGACATGATATTTTTTGCATCTTGTTCAAGACCATCGGTGTCACAAAATCCAGGAGTATCTATAATAGATAGCTGAAGGTCTGGAATTCTCCATTCAGTTGATTTCATTTGCACTGTATATTCAATTGTTGAACGTGTCTCTGACCGGAGTTCGCTGGTTTCGGCAACATTTGTTTCGAAAAGGTAATTAACTGTGGAACTTTTCCCAGCACCGCTTAAACCAACAAGCAATACGAAAACTTGATTTGGCGATCGTTTCATCTTCATTGCAATATCAGCCATCTTCATAGCAGGATGACGCTTACCCCTTCGAAATAAATCATGTAATTGTTTTTCATTTACTGGCAACGACATCCACTCATCTTTCCTGAAATATGATCGTTAAAAATTAACTATTTTCTTAATCAATTTTCATAATCAATTTTCATAATCAATTTTCCATGCAACAATCAATCAACCAATCAATCAATTTCATCTACACTAAGAAGTCAAATGGTTCGGAATATCACTTGTATTGTATGTCATTACTGAACTTTCAATTCGATTCAAAATGAAAGAGGTAGGGCCATTTTCCCGTGAGTTTTTTTCATTTGATTAGCTAGGTAAATCATGTTTTTAAATAGCCCGATAGATGCTAATTATAGTATATGAAAACACGTCACATCATCTATTTTCATACCTTGAACAGGTATTCCTACAATAATCAAGGCCAAGACTATTGTTGTTTTTTTTGTTTATCAAAACCAATATTGATTTTGTTTGTTAGTGCCCTTGAGGAGCATTAAAATATGAATTATCAACTAATAGATATTCGAAATTAGTTTTGTATTAAAAAAACATGGTGCTTCAGTTAGCGTGTTAATGTTGGTAGGTGATTTGTAGCGTACATGTATTTCACAGCTTCGTTTAACTTAAAACTAACAAAATATTAAACAAGAATGTGTCCATAGTACACGGATGCCCCACTCGTACTATCATTTTCTATGTTCAGTGAACCGTGAAATTGGGGTAGTTTAGCATGAAAATGAGAAAGATCATATCATAGGGATCGTGTGTACTAAGTTTCAAGTTGGTTGGACTTCCACTTCATCAAAAACTACCTTGACCAAAAACTTAAACTTGAAACGGGACAGACGGACAAACGACGGGACGGACGGACGAACAAACAAACGAACGGACGCACAGACCGAAAACCGAATGCCCCTAAGTGGCGCCTAAAAAAGGGGGGACAGATTCAACACTTTCTTGATGTTTTACCTACAGTCACGATTGGTAGTGTAATTGATTTTTTCTGTGGTGTTGTTTCATTTTCTGATGACTTAGGTTCCGGTGTAGGGACGGTGGTACAATATAACAATGCCAGTACGTATCTACACAGTTGGTTAATTGGCGATAAAATTACTGTCTGCATTTGTTACATATCATACCATTTTCTAAAACGTTCTTGTTCAAGATTTAGAAAAAATATTTTTGTTGTTTTGAAATTTTTCTGATATGGCCTTTTTTCGTTATGTGTATAACACAAACAACATTTGGGCTTCATTGCTATATAATCAATTCTCGTGTTATTGGTTATGTACAAGCACCTACTTCAGTGTTACTCTTTGAATTAAACAAACATCCGAAAAAATGTGATAGAAACATAACATTTTAATATTTCAACATAAAAAATGAGAAAAATTAGCGTGAGATTTGAACCCATCTTAAAAACAATCCATTATTTACAGTTTTAAGCGCTACCGATGGAGCCACGGCGACGCTTGAAAATATAATTGATATTAAGCAGCTATATAGGTAAACTTTAGTGATGTTCCACTTTTTATTAAAAAAGTTGTTCTTTAGGTATTAAGGACACACTAAACCAATTTCATTTTTGAGGGGGAAAGTTGTATAAATTACAACAACAACAAAAAACATAACTTTGTTTTGGTTTGAAGTGTCCTCCTAGGGGGATTCCCTGTTTTTCCAACCTAAAACACGGTAAATTCCGCATATTTGACTTTCATCCTTTTTTGGAGGTTAAATTAACTATTTTCCACACATAACATAATACATAAAAATCGAGATATTGACCAAAAAACATTTTTATTTCTTGTTTTTATCGTAAACTTTATTCTTTCAGCACTTTTTGTAATTGGCCCTTCTGTGAAAAAAATTCAGGGGAAATTGGCTTTACCTCTTTAATGCGAAATAAAAATGAGTACATGTTTACAGGCTTGCTGAGCTAGAGACCGTGATTGAATGATTGACGGAAATAGTACAATCATTGTGTTGAATGAAAAGAAAAAACATAATGAGTTTGTTCAAGCCGTTGCTAATTGTGCGAGTATAGTGAGCTTTCTTTATCAAATACAAATCGATACAAAAGTGTCACATTAACATAAATGGAGTTATTACAGATAAGAAACGTAGTGTGTGTTTGGAAAACTTGTAACTCGAAAGGTAAAGCTAGCACGAGTCATAGTTACTCCATGCGAACCATTTAAACGATATTTAGACCTTCTGAAAGTTTTTGAACAGCAGTATACTACTGTTGCCTTTATTTGATATGATATAAGTTTTAAACAGACGACACCAGACACACTGGAGGAAACTTGAACCAGAAGCACTTTATCGGGTCAATCGCACAAGAGGCCCGTTAAATGGGTTATAATCAAGCCTTGATGTGAATATAGACTGGTTTACTTCCACTTGTTACACATGTCAAAAAAGTATATAATATATATAAAAAAATACAGTAAAGTATTTATGAAAGTACAAGTACAAACAGAAGAATAATATTAAAACCACAGCAAACACGCGTCGATGTAACGTAAACGAGCTCAAAACGCTTTATTAGTACTAAAAAATTGAGCAACTGGTTTTTGCATTTTGGCAAATGTGAAAAATTGTTTGAACTAGAACTATTTCCATTGATATTTCTGGAGAATATTAAGGCTAAATACAAATAAATCACTATATTTATAATTATATTAGTATCTTACTTCTTTTGTTCCATCTGGTCAATGCAACTATGTATTCAAAAGCTCCTTACCATTCAGCTTTCTACAAAAACATCAAACTTAAAATGATTACTACATGAATAGATTACAGTACTTACTTAATACAAAGTTATGGAATATATGTTTCAAAGTACTGACGGATATGTTCCACTCGTAGTAACCACAAACTCGTTTTTTCCTCGAATGTGACACATCGAATAAGACGTACCTTCGGGTTTGTACTCACATGAACAATCACGCGGATTCCACATGTGGGGTAGGACTTTTTACCCTTCCGGAGCACATGAGATCAACCCGGATATTGGGAGGGCTTGTGTTGCTGTTTAGTTTTTTGTTTTAAAAAACATATCAAACGAATGGAAAACAAGTGTCATATTCCTAAATTGTATTGTCCCTTCGGTATTTTACGCCTCTCTTTCATTCGACTGCATGAATATCTAATTTACAAGTAAGAAACTTTTGTATTTGCAGACTTGCAGCAGATCCATTTAAGGATGTTAATTATTGATGTCATAATATTGAAATATCATTTGAAAAAAAGGTTGCAAAACAGTTATATTAAACTCAATTTATATACCTATTAAAATTGCTGCAAGTTTTGTTTATTCGACATCGATGTTCGGATTTGAAAATATGGATTTAAGTTCGACCCTAACATATGTTTAGACTTTAACCATACGAAAGCCATCAAATCGTACTGGAAGTAGAATCCATGCTGAATGTAGTGTTTATGATATTATAATTGAACAGTGCCTTCTTTGATGCATCCTAGAAATACACGTAACTTTTTTCAAATATTTTTAAAAAGTAATGTCCAAGTCAATATGCAGGACCCTTGACACAAAAAGTATACTCTGATAACATATACCCATATTGGTCAATCAATTTTCCCCAAATTAAGTTAAAAAGGGGGTGTGGTCAGTGAAAAACTATGTGAATTAAGTTTTTTTTATCCTAAATTGAACTTTCGATGTCGTCCCTAAAGTCATATGAATATTCAATTAAAAAAAAAAAATTGAACAGATTTTATAATTTTGATCATGTTGAATGGCTAAGTATTATTATAAAACAAGTGTATTTGAACTTATTATTATAAAAATCTTCCTGAATGCACTGCTATTGAATTACTGTCTTCACGTACACTTATTCTCCAATATTTCCTCGTAAGCAGTGGCCTTAACTACGATAACTCTCGTTTGAACTTCGGCCTCTGCACAGCACAAGAGATAGGGGAAACCTCAGATAAAAGAATATAATATAAACAAATGTATAAGAAATAATAAAAGTAGTTATAGAAGTATTATTAAATGACGCAACCACAAATTCAAAAACAGGTAAGTCCGCCTAATATTTAGAAATTGAGGATGAGGGTTAATGGAGGACAAAATTTACGACATATCATCGAAAGTTGATTGATCGTTTATCTGTGTCAGACATCCCCAATTGTATTAGACACTATCCCGTATTCATTTTTCCGATTGTCACATTACCAAATGCTACTTATCTACGGTATTTGATTAGCATTGAAAACCAAATATTCGAAAAATTTGTGACAAATCTATTTGAGAACATTTATGCCTGGTGGTAGAAAAACCTTAGTATTTCGAATGATTTGAAAGTTTTATGAACAGTTAATTTACTAAAAATGACTAAAATAGTGATACCCTCTTGAACGCGACCTCCAAACAGAATATTTGCTTGTAGGAAATTATTGTGTAAGTTTGGTATTGAGGATAGTGAAGGCAAGTCCAGCTCTTCATCTTTAATGAAATTCCAAAGGAACATAAAACCAAACTTTGATTGTTCATGATTTCCTTTTAAGTAAGTATCGTAGGAGTAAATGTTGGGTTTCAGAGTTTGTTGCCAACACCTCATCCCTCTTCCGTCAGATACTATTATGTGATTTACGAACAATAAAGTTATTGTTTTCGGCTTTGTCTGCCGGGACAATATAATTTTTGATGTAGGTAGGACAAGTGCTTCGGATTATATACGAATCAAGAATTTGAACAGCTGCAATCGTGACGTTGTCGATTTTGAAATTCTACAACACATGTTTGCAGTTGAAAAAATTTAGGGTTGTTATGGGTATGATATTTGATTTGTACAGACTGATCTTTAAAGTAAGGAGGTATTTTAGATATCTCTGATTTCAGACGAAGGATATGGCTTAAGCGGATGCGATCACGTCCTTTATTTCGGAAAAGTCTGTGCTGAATAACATTCAAAATAGTAGCTGTGATTTTGTATGGACAGCAAATTCTCAACATTATATGTACCAAGAATTAAATTTTGAAAATGAAATAACAAATCACGACCATTAACGATTGGTCCAATTTGGGACAGACACATGCATGACGCGATTTAATGTAGTTCTCTAAACCTCCTTGTAATCTCGATCAGTAGAATAACGAAATAAAAAATAAAACATAAATGATTGATACAAGTACAGGAAAAACAGAATACCTTGAAATACAAGTATAATGGAAAAACAAAACCCACAAGTACCAGATTATCATATAAAACAATAGTGTATCAGACAATGCCTGCACATCCTGAAGGGAAGTGCCTAAGTACTTAATGAAAAAAATTACATTTTATAAATTAGATTATTTGTGCATTCGTTTGAAGTACTTTCTGTGATATTGTGTGATTGGTACAGAATAATCTTTGAAGTAAGGAGGTATTTTAATTACACTGATGTATGATGAATTAGAAAATAGTGTTAGACATCCAATTTGTTTCTGAACCCAAATATACAACTAAACAAACGCAAGCTGACACACCTTATCACCTCGTAAAGTAACTCTTTCATGTTGTATGTAAAATATTACTAGAGAAATCATCATTTTAGCACATCCCCATGAGTTTTTTAATCAAGAGAAATTATTGTTCTTACTTTTAGGATTGCCTGCTTTTTCAGGTGTGCGCTTGCAATTAATTTTTAACTTGGCTATTTACAACGATCAATCGTTCTTTAGGTATTTTGTAAACACTTTTACTGTGTTAATATTGATACACGTAGTAAAGGTTTTGCCTATTACAAGCTATAACCTACCTAAATGATAGGGAAAATATTGTCTTTGATATATCTTTCATCAGACGGATGGTAAATTTGTTCGTGGATGGTCTTTTTATGCATTTAAACCAAATCCTTGTTTTCTTTTTGGGAGTTGATATCATGAGAGGCCAGTTAAGTCATTGTCTTTTGTCTCAGTCAATTTGGCAAGAACTCATATTACTATCTTCCTGGCCGCTAAATCGACATTTCTTTAACATAAATATATAATATTTTGAATAAATAAGATACAAATATACAATACCTCCAAAAATCAAGTATACACAACACAAAAGGTCCTATATAAACATTGATAGTACACGTCACTCTTTATCTCTAAATAGGCTTGATAAACCTTATACAATAATCAATTATCATCGAAGTGAAATTTTATTTTAGTGCGAAAAGGACATAACTTAGGTCAGTTCATATCTTAGAAATCAACTTAGATTTAAATCTGATACGATGACAGTAAGTGTAAATGACATACTTTATTGAGAGAGACTGCTATATACCTCGCAAAACATCCTTTTTTGAAACTTTTATTTACGGCAGTAAGTTACTTAAGATCTGAGATATAAACTCAATAGCTAAACTTAATATAAATCTGTGAGGTGTAAAATATCTACATTTTGTGAGATTTTGTTATGCCGATATAGATGCATCTTTACACAAAGATTGATTAGAGGTGATTTATTATCTGATAATTGAATTCGAACATAAAACTTTATTTTACTTATTAGACGAAAAATGTAATCAATGCCACAGAACCATGGCAAATGGGTTATGTGACCTTCATTGTATCCCACAACGTCAGTCCCTCAAAGATTGCAATCAAACATCAAATTATTAACTTAATTTTAACACAAAGAATCAGACATAATATTCCATATAACGATGGAGAAGGTGTATCAAGTCTAGAAGAAAAGTATTTTAGAAGAAACTTTATCATAACGTATCAACTGAAATACGTATTTATTATACACAGGAAAAATTGTATGTTTATACTCAAGCATAGGAAATTGGCAATATGAAAACTAAAATAATCGAGTGCCACAGATACAAGTTTTGAGTTGTCAATCAATGTCCTTTTTAGAATAAGATATAAATACCTTCAGATGCAGCAGTGGTTAACCATGTTCAAATACCATACAAGATACAAATCACGGATAAAACAACCTTAAAACTGATGGAATCGCAAGAACTAAAAAAAAAAGTACAAGGCCTGATGCGTTAACGGAGCAAGGGTCTCCTACTATACATAAGTCATCCCCCTTTCGAATCACAAAATGTCACAATTGGGATATGAAAAAAAATTGTAATCGACAAATTCAACGACTAATCTGGTATCTAAAAATCTATGACCGCGAAAACATTTTTCTACTGACCTGAAACACAGTCATATCGTATCGGTCATCCAATTCGAGATGGTGACTACAGGAAAACTGAAACATTGGCTATTGCCTTAGAAAAATTTCAGTGTTTAATCAAAGTTCATTTGTAAAAAAGATAAAGGTATAGATACGAAGAAGATTTATATTATATAAATTTTTCAAGTGATGTGAACTCACACTGAATTACTGCGAGATAAGACACCATTAAAATACACAGTTACATGTCGGCCAGAGGTTAGGAGAATCCACTTTGTGACGAAAAATTTTGAATAGTATTTGACTATTCATCAAAATGAAAAAAAATATTTTTAAAGAAGTAAGGATTATTATTATTATAGACACCAAAATACAGGTTTGTCAGTTATTTCAACAAATAACGCGCGGCTGGCGTCGAAATAATAAGCATCTATGGTATCTTAAATGTGTGTATAATACAAAATCTATCGTGTAATAAAATTGAGAATGGAAACGGGGAATGTGTCTAAAAGACAACAACCGGACCAAAGAGCAAAAACATCCCAAAGCCACCAAGGGGTGTTGTATGCTTACTAGCAGACAATATGAACTCTGTCATTGTACAAAGTTTTAATTTCTATTTTTTATACATTTTAATAGTAGTTAACGAATTACAGGTTATTTCATCAAACGATAAATATATATTACGAACTGAAAATAATGAGTATGCTAATATTATTTTGAACATGCAATATACTGTTTGAAATTTCACTGTACTTTATTGTTGCACAATGAGCAAATAGACGAAATTAATTGTTACGATCAAGGAAGAGGTTGCATAACAATAATGCTATCAAAAATTAAGTTTTAACTTTTAAGGCAGAGTTTTTTTCTTTCGATACAGTATTTAATATGTAAAGAGTTTTCTTGTTGTTTATTTTTACACTACCGTTATTGATAAACCCAAACTTATCATCTTGTACCTTCGTAAAACTAATTTAAAGTGAAAATAATGTTACGCGTAGGCAATATCTTTAATAATACATTCAGTTTTTGATTTAGTATTTGGTGTGTAAATTGCTTGATGTTAGATAAAAAGTATACCATATCAGATACTCATATTTATCTACCCTTGATGATCATAATATCATTTTAATTGTCATTATGGTTAAAAAAAGTCTTATTTTGTACTGATGATTCCGGAAACTGATCTGAAATCTTTGTATTGTTATCCAATTACTAAATTCGTATTTGTATTCCGTAGTTTTATATGCTGTTTTAACATTTGTTATTGATTATACAATTTGAAAAAGTAATGTTAAATAATATAATGTGGCTCTCAGAATTAATGAGAACTATTGGCCAATTTATGCATTTTATATATACGCATATATATCCACATTTGCAGCAAAATTAATTATTTCATGTGCTCTTTTCTTGGCAAATGGCAATGAATAGTGAGAATTAACTCTTTACTACATGTATGTCATTACAATATACAGTCAAACTAAAAAAAAAAAAAAAAAAAAAAACAGCTAAGTGTGGAAAATAATTAGGTTTTATGCTTATTTGATAAAAAATACACTTTATTAATTCCTTGCGTCTTTATACGTCTGTATACGTAGTGCTTATTTGATATTTACTTTCATTTTCACTAGGATATGTCAAAATACCATCTTTGGACATGTATAAGTCATTAAATACCACCGAAAACCATGACCCAGGATGATACCGCAAATTTCTGTAATCGCAGACAATCGTAAGTTATTGTTTTCACTCCTATGATCTCTAGACTTTGTTTTTTTTTTCTCTCAAAATAGTAGGTTTCAAGAAATGGATCGTACTAAAGGCTTTTGGAAACGATATGAAAATACATAATTCGAAGTTATACAAAGACAGAAAGCAAATATTTATATAAAAAAGTCAATGTTATTTTTGCATTGTTTTATAAATCTTATATTTATATAACTTTTTTCAGACACATTGAATTTAAGACATTTAGCACGTGAACAGACATTTCTCAGTTCACAGTAAAAACAAAGATATATAATTTTGGGTATGGAACGTTTAACCAGTATGGTTACATAAGTAAAAAAAAAAGATCAAGGACAGTTTTATTAGTCTTATAATGAGCTGTTTTTCTTTTTAGTGGACTAAAACAGTCATTCCTCTCACGTAACAATAAAGAAAATCATACGAGGGGAAAGGAGTTTGATTACTTCTGCAGTTTGAAAAAAAAACCCAGCGAACTTTACACTGAAACGAATTTTATCTGCAAATTAACTTTCAAAATTCAACAGAACCTTGAACAAAGTTAAACATTAAAATTTAGCATGTTTATGGATGTAACATTCATGTATAATTCTATAAAAATATTATAAAAATAAAAGTTATCGACTCACCATTAAGCGAAAACAAAAATGATTCACTACACACATTCGTCACGACTATGCCATTATTTTCATAAGTGTTTTATCTATCTGTATCATAAATACACATATGGTCACACTTGCGCAATACGATGTACTTAAATAGAAATTACCGTGTAAACTTGTATTCTGAAAATCCGTATTAGCCCTACGAGGACATTACTAACTTTAACAGTTTTAATTTTTGAACACTATTTCAATCGACGTGCATTTAACAACTAAATGTAAAATAGAAATGAGGAGATGTGGTAAGATTGCCAATTAAACAACTATACACCAGAGACCAATTTCAAAGACGAAGACTTAAACAAATACAGGCCAATTAGGAAACCCCGCAGCGTATAATAAGCTTTTAAGGGCCACAGCATGAAAATATTTGAACTATTTAAAAGAGAAAACCAACGACAATCACTGGATTACAGACTCCTGTCTTTGGACACGGACATCAAGAATACGGTTGTGTCAAATATGTTAAATATATATTCAACTGTACATCATTAGAACAAATGGTAAAAACAGTTCGAAAAGTATTCAATATCAGATAGGCACGAAACAGGTCATTAAATGCCTTTATTCGCATGCCATCTCATCAGTTTAACACTAGCCTACTTTAAGCAAGATGTTGCAAGATAAACCCTTCATATTGAAACGGGTTTACTGAATATCGGCGACGAAAAGAAGAAAATAGGTTTATTAGTTTACATTTACTTTTTAAAGGAAACTGAAACCTCCACCTTGCCTATCTACAAAATAAATGCAAAAACGTTGTAACACATATTATGAAATATATAATATACCGTACGCAGGACACGTTTTTCTAAAATACCCTTGAACAGGTTTGCTCGATACCAATAGAGTTGATAACCAAATTAATGGGAACAAATGAGAGCAAAAGGACCAAAATTGTTTTAAAAAATAACCCAAAACAGTTTTTGGTAAATTTGGCCTGAGAGAATTGCAACGTTATTAATTATATAATATATAAACTAGAAGTGTACAGATAAATGAAACCAGTAAAATACAACTATCAACAAGACAATGATAATACCAACCTACATAAGAAATCAGAGACTGCACATACTAGGAAAAGCGGGGTCAATATGTACTAGCTATTATTCCTTTCATTTAGAGGGCAGTCATATTGTTCCTTGATAACCTATTCCAGAAGCAAATAGGTCTTGCATTTTAAAACCTGAACAAGTTGACAAGTAATAAACAGGTTATTCAAGATTAAAAAGTGAAAGAACCCTATCGGGTATTCACACAAAAATAAATGAGATAATTTGAAGGGCTGGCATACTGACCAGGTTTTAAATGGCACAACTGCAAAAGCAAAATAACACTAAAAGTAGACATTGGCACTTCTGCTCTCGCTTAATAAAGTTGAACACTCCTAATTCCCATTCGAACAAAATTTTAAGACAAATTGAAAAAAAGGTCACTTTTAAATATTTATTACTTTTATCAAGCCATTGAATTTTTTTTTATGTCATGCGTTTTTCTCTCAGTCGAAAACATTGACTTCTTAGTGGAAGATGGTGAAAGATTAGACCTTATATTTAAACTGATTTTACTGAATGTCGGTTATGAAAAGGAAATTAGTTAATCTAATTCACAAATGCACTTTATTTTCTTTCAAAACATATAAATTTGACAACTTTATATTTTCTTCCAAAACATTTAATGGGTTTTGAATTGCGTTTATAGTAGCTTTTACTATATTTTTTGATGTCATGCTCTTTTCTCTGAGTTGAAATTATTGACCTCTTATTGGAAGATGGTGAAAGGTTAGCCCTTATATTGGAACTGATTTTACTGAATGTCTGTTATGAAGGGAAATCAGTTAATCTAATATACAATATGCACTTTATTTTATTCCAAAGCATGATTTTGACAAGCAGTTATTAAGTTCGGAAATGTCATGAGATTCACTACTTAAGTTATAAGTTCAAGTTATGTATTTTCATCTGAATAATTGGGTCTTGCAGTCCTTCTTTTGATTGGCAAACAATAGTTCAAGTTTTCAATATATCATCAGCCAACATTATTTTACTCCTTTTTCACCAAACGAATGTTTGTATGGAGTCTTTTCCAAATATATAAACCTTAAATGGGTTTTGAATTGGGTTTATTGTAGCTTTTTTAATATATTGCATAAATATCAATATTTATTGATTTGAAACATACAATGTATTTAATCATTCAATACGACAGTTTAATTAACAATTGTTAATGAAACATGTATGGTGATACATTAAAATGATTCAGTTGAAAATAATACATTTATTTAGAATGCAAGACTATCTATCAAACTTTATTTATAATGAATTCAAAAGAGATGGAAAAAATAGTATTTTAGATTAATACAACTAAACAGGTGACTTGATAAATATAATTCAAAGTTGTTACTTAGTAAGTTAGAGTGTACTTAATTAAAGCTTTCCTTGTATTTTTGTTTTCTAAAAATCAATTACACCGACTTCAAAAATAGTATCACTATGTTTAATCAACAGTATTATCAAAATTCATGTATTCATTATTTGAATTACCGGATAGGAAGTGAGGATGTGAAGAACATATTTGATTGAAAATAGAACTTGTACAAAATGATATGATTTTGCGTTAAAGGGGAATTAGCTACGAGATATACAAAAACAAAATAAAAATATGATTTTATTTTATTCATTTATTAAAGAAAGTGAAATAGCGAATTAAAAATTCGCTTTCAGCAGCCAGTTTGGTTCAATTTTGTCAGAATAAGCTAAGAAACATCGCTGATGAATTATTCACTTGCAAGTGAATAATTCGAACTCATTGCACCCGTACTCATGTGACCTTCTATTTAACCCCTTATCTAGAGATGGGTTACGTTCAGCTAGTAAAGGAAAAAGAATGTCAACATTGAAAGTGAAACACGGGTAAAACATTTGGTTGACTGATTCAATCCACAAAAACTAATTCTTATACAGGTACATATTTGTTTAACCTATAATATAAAAAACCAAACAGACCTAGAAAAATCCAATTACACGTGTTTGCTATCTATTTATATCTATATTTATGTTTATAGCAGATTATACGATCGTCCGCAGTCTTCGGAGATCACCTCGATGGTTAATAAGATGGCTCCAAGACTAAAATACACACGAAAATTTGATACATATTATCGAGTCCATTCATCGTTAGTTGTTTATTTTAGACTTATTTAGATTTTGAATATACGTTTTAGTATGTTATAAATCAAATATGAGAATTTGAGTCTAATCGGTGAACATGAATTTGAAGCTAATGTCCCTTTAATATGGCTGAAACGTATCTATAAAGTTTGACTGTATACCTTTAATGAGAAAAACGGTGTCACTTGTGTGAAAGGAACTGCTTACCCGTTCAAGTACTTGAGTTTGGTCCCAGTTTTTTGCGGGTTTTACGGTGCTCAATAGTTTTAGTTTTCAGTATAGTTTTTGTAACTCTTTGTATCCTTCCGTCCTTTTTCTGTTTGACATGAGGTTGTCAATTTTTCTCCGACTTTTAAAAAAAATAATTTATATATTCATAAGCTCATGATTCGTATGTGTTTCAGTACTTACATGATTCATAACATGCTTTTCTTAAATTCTCCGTTGTTATACTAAGGAATTGTTCAGGATTTAAGGTTTCATCCCCCCAGGAAGAGTTGACCTTGGCTATGATTTGCGCTTCAACTTAGTACTTTATGTTACCTTTTAAAGGAGTTGATTCACTAACTCACAATTTTGGCCCTGAAAATCTGAAAATTTTCATTGTGATAATGTAGTGAACATTTGATTAAAACATATGTTAAAATGTCCAATTGTTCAGTTAAAACATATTTTCACCAATTGCGTCATTAATGACGTATTTATGACGTCATAATGAAAAAACGAATTTCGTAAAAACCTGATTTTTTGCAGAATTCTGCAATATTTATGACAGTTTTCTGAAAAATTAACAGTGGCGCCAGACTTCGACAACAAATATTTTTGCTGAAATATTTTCTATAAAGCATATTCATTTCTTTTCAACAAAAAAATTCAATGGGGTGGCCCCACATACAAAATCATGAAAAAAGGTGCAAATAGTTGACAAATTTGTAGAAAATTTGTCGAAAATGAAATCTATTCCTATTTCCGGCTCATATATTTATAATAATGAAGCAGATATACAATTTTCGTATTATACCTTTGAATATCATACATTTAGCAATACATACTAATCAGATTTACTTTGATAATCAAAGTTAATAAAAAAAAAACTTTTTCATGGCCTTTTTTGGGTTTTTTGGCTCTGCTCCTTTGTCTTATTTGAACGTCGCTGATGAGTCTTTTATGGTCGAAACGCGCATTTGGTGTACATATTTGTAAACCTGGTATCATTGATGAGTGTTTTTGGTCTGTTAAGGTCTCTTTGTAGTCATATACAAATGTAGCTCCTCATCTATTTAAGTACTACTATATCCTGCGCCTTCAAATTTTTAAGTTTGAGCTTTCTTGATGAAGGTAAATGCAGACTAGCGCTGCTGACGTACGACATATATAAAGTGTTACTTTTACTTACACTGAAAAGTTGAGATAACAAGTTGAGATATATACCTTGTTTATTATTTTTTAATAGGTTTCACATAAAATTTTAAGTTAAAGAAAATAAAGTCAAATGCAAAGTATATTTAATCAGATGTTTTTAAAATCAATATCGAATTTTCAAATGGCTGTTCTGTCTAATTATGAGGCTTACTAAACTTCCCAAATCACCAAGAACATGCAGTATAGCTTAAAGTATTTCCTTACCTCTGGTTTAAATTTATATTGCACCCTGTAGACATTGTTGCATTTTCAATACAGAATAGAAGTACACAAACATAGATAAGAATGAGAAGTGAAGATAATCCATTTACTATATTTCTTAAAAAAGTATACGTAGCTCAACAAATTGAGACGATAGTAGAATAGTTCAAATTTCATAAATCGATTCAGACAATAAATCAATGTAACAAACACAAACTGAGGGAAAAACATGAATTTTGAAAGGAGCGAAATCAGGTGCGTCGACAGGGTAAGTGTCTCCTGCTTAACACGGTCCGTTTCCATTATTACCAAGAACAAACTTATTGCATGCGGTAATTTGCAGTTTTGGCAACAGAAGTATGTATTTTCATATATATATTTGATGATTGACTTCAACTTCAAAGTAAAAATCCTAAGAAAAAAACCCCGATAAAACAGAGTGTGCGTTTTTTCATACCTGATAAATATACATTTATTGAGATTTGGGGTATATGTCAATGAACAGAATCCCATGAAGCGGGTTAACAAAAGACATTAAGAGGTAAACTAAAGATGTTAGTAAACATGTTAAGCTCTAAATCATCGCGAATAGAAAGACGTTTTGAATTTACTTTAGATTCAATATCAACATTAATTATCATTGTATGACATTGAATTTGTTTATCCTACATGTATGTGAAATACATGTTCAATACACTAGTAAATAAATTTCAGTCCGAAACGGTCATTTTGAACTTAACATCATCTGAAAAGTCTGAACAATTAATTATTAAGTTATGTTCAGCCTTTCAGTAAATTGGCAGACTTATCTACTGCGTATTGTTCAGTAACTTTTCAGACAGTTCAGTATGTTGTTGATGTGTACAGGTGAATAACAACTACTGAACAATCCAAACATAGTCTGAGCAGATCTTGACTGCAAGCGTATTGTCTGAACAGTACTAAATTTACCTCGGTGAAAAAGTCTGACAATTTACTGAAAGACTGAAAATGACATGATAATAAATGATAGTTCAGTCTTTTAAGAGCTGTTTAGATCAAAATGACCGTTTCAGATAATAATTGGTTTACTATATATCATGAATTAGTTCGTTTGGATTTTTTTATACGAATCATAATACTATTTTCCGTCGCGGTTCAATGCAAACTATGTACCACTGAGACCACTGCCGTCAATCTATCAATTATAAATGATAATCGTTGAAAGGAGTCTCATAATCAATCATGTAGAGCTTCCAAACATTTGGCTCTGCAGTTTAAGTGAAGTGCATTGCGTCATGAGGTGTGTACGATCAGCTTCCCACGAAATTAATGTCCGCAAAATTAACGATGTTTACTCGCAAATGTGATGCACCAAGTTGAAGTTCATCCCACATCTCCTTTCATCCATACCGGTATTATTATGCATAATTAATAAAGTGTATAGCAATTATCATAAAAAACTTTTATAAAATGACTATAATCTAATTGGTAAAGACGTTGCGCTCGATGTTGGTACCAGTGAGCGTCACATGACGTTCTTTATGATACGTCGATTTTGACATTTGAAGCGTTCAAGCTCATATTTATTAAGCTTGATTAACCGTGATAAATTTGTTAATCTGATTTCGGTTTGTCGGAATAATACACATGTTTTAGTAATAAAACTTAAAATGGTCGTATATATATTTTCTCTCTCAGTTCTATGTGTTATCATTTCGCGATGCTTTCTTTGTTGCAAATTAAAAGATCTTGGCTAGTAAAATATTTGGAAGTCAAGTTTTTAACATTTTTCGTATTCACTTGATAAGGGACTTTCCGTTTTGAATTTTCCTTGGAGTTTCGGTATTTTTGTTGTTTTACTTTTTACCAATTTCGTAATCAGATGAACAAAAATCGAAAATTAAACTTATAATCTTATTTTCAATCCAGTGGGATAACCAGATTTTGTGTTAATATATTTAAGTTTGTATGAGCTAGGGAGTCCACAATGCAGAAAACAGTAGCTA